GCCTCCCAACAACAAAGTTATTGCATTGAAATTAAGAACCCGAGTCTGCACCATGCTGTTGCCTGGCTGACGTTTTGTGTCTGGCAGTCTGACTATGCTAGCTAGCTGGGACTGATTTTGAGAGGGAGGAACCCATGATTTAGCAAAACAACGCACCTCGGACCACGTGGTGTAAGGCATCAGCCCTCCTGTTTCCAGGCAGTCACCAGCCCTGCCGCACCTGTCCGAGAGTCGGGACGTGGAATCCGAGGACGAGGAAGGGCGGTCCCAGTGGAATCTGAAGATCTTGGTGGTTTCCGTTTAAAAAAAGGAAAAAAACCCAGGTGGCATTGGCTTTTCAGGGGAACTGGGGGAACTGTGACCCGGAGAGCTGGATGTGTCTTCCCATCTTCCTTAAGTGCAGCTTGTGAGAAGGCCGCAGACCTTCCATCCACGAGGACCATGTGGGCCCGGATCGCTTTCAACCAGGAATTGCACAGAATTTCACACGTGCGACTCTTCTTCATTGCAAACAAGTCACTCATCATCACTCATAAAGGCAGGTCTACTCCACCTCTTCTTGGGGATTCAGGAACACGTGCAGAGTGGTAGCTGGTGCAGCCTTTAGTTCTAAATGGTCTCAGCTTTGGGGGGGTGGGCATGGAGGTGCGAGGGGAGGCAAGAAGTACTTTTTGTGCCTATTTGAAGTGCAACTTCCCTGGTGCCCAGCCAGGCCTGGCTTGTGGATGGTCCACCTCAGAAGGGCTATCCTGAGGGCGCACTCCTCATTGGAGGGCAAGGATGGGAGGGCTGCGGAGGAGACACTGCGGAGGAGTGCACAGGCGGGGAAATTCCAGACACGCCCATTTTCTACCTGGGCAGCAGACTGTCGCCACCATCTCCCAGGACCACCCTGGCACATTGGCATCCTCTGGGGCCTGAGGACGGCCTTCGCCTTCCTGTGAGACCAACAAGTGGACTCCTGCCATTTCCTTCCATCCTCCACCCCCGTCCTCTCTCCCCCAGTTTTTACACAACAGGATTGATTCATGTGAACTAGATTCAAGTCCGCAGATGGGGGCAGAAGAAGAGATGGTGTTGAATGAGCTTATTGTTGGAGATTTCACTGACTTCTTTTATTGAATACCCGCCGTCCTGGAACATATTGAGTGGATTTACTGAGATTCCAAGAGGGGCCTTTTGGAAGGAACTCTGCCTGGGTGCTCGGTACCCCTGACGTCGGGGCTGGGACCTAGCGGGTGGCGAGTTTGCTCCGGGCGCCCCGTCTCCATTTTTATAGTGGTGGGTCTTCTTGGGGGCAGATATTCTCAGTTACAGTCCCAGACTCCTTATGAGCTAGGGATGGTCCCCACCCTACTGCCCTTGGCAGTCAGGCCTTTTGTGGAATTCCCTTCTAGCACATTCTTCGAATAAATAAAGATGGACACCCCATTCGGTGCCACAGTTCACAGAGGGCCCCCCCCCCCGTGGCTTCCGCGAGGCACGAATAGAAGAAGATGGGTGACATGGCAGATCTTGGGCAGAAGCAGCAGGTGTTACCCTCATGCCTAGGGCTCGAGTGTCTCATGCAGCGTGGCCAGCCCGCGACAGGCACGGAGGAGTTGGGGACATACATGTATTTAGCGTGTTTAGGGGTGGGCTCCCTGCGGTCGGTGGTGCTGCAGGCGTGGCTGAGGATCATGGGTGTGTGGTGGGTGAGTGCGGTGTCTGGATGGCCGCCACACAGTGGCTGTGGGACAGCTCAGGTGACTGGGGCCTGGGGAGCTCCTGAGAGTCTGCAGGCACTGGAGCTGGGAGAGGCTCGTGTCTCGCTGCAGACGGCGGAAGCCTGTCTCTGGCTCACGTCAGTCACGGCCCAGATGCCCTGGGAGTGAGCCTGTGGGAAAGCAGGTCGGTGGATGACAAGCGCTCACCCAGTGGGAGTGCACTGGGGCGCAGGCAGGCTCCCCGGGCAGTTTCTCTCTCTCCTCCTGCCCCCCCCTCGCTTTCTCCTCTCTCTCTCTCTCTCTCTCTCTCTCTCTCGTTTTTCTGCCAATTCCGGTCAGGTCTCCTGGGTCTTGAATCTAGGAAAGGGCGCAGGGCGCAGGCAGGCTCCCCGGGCAGTTTCTCTCTCTCTCCTCCTCCTGCCCCCACCCCCCTCGCTTTCTCCTGCTCTCTCTCATGCACTTACTCTCCTCTCTCTCTCTCTCTCTCTCTCTCTCTCTCTCTCTCTCTCTTTCTCTCTCTCTGGTTTTCTGCCAATTCTGGTCAGGTCTCCTGGGTCTTGAATCTAGGAAAGGGCGCCCTGAGAACCTGAGGCCAGAAAGAGAAAGCCCCCCCCTTGACCTCAGGTCCCTGGTGGCCCCAGGCTCTCACTTCCAGTAGCTGAGGCTAGAGTCCCGGGCTCCCCCAGGAGGAGCCGATGACCTCGGAGTCCGGGTGGGGAAACGGGGTTTGCGCTCAGCCCTATGAGGAGTCTTGCATTCCCTCTGGAAGAGGAGGCTGAGTGACCCTGTTTGGCGTGGGCTGCTGCTTCGTCAGGCCCTAGCCAGTGCCACTGCCCCGGCCACCTTCCCCAGCCCGCCTGGCCCGAGCCATGTGCTCACCCTGGGACCCGGCCAGCCATCCTAACAACCCAGAGCAGCCCAGTGTCGCCGTGACTAGGATTCCCAGGAAAGAGTTCTCCTCTCTCTGATATGGGGGGCATAGATCTTTGGGGATCTGGCTTCCTCCCCTCTTTGCATCCTGGCAGTCCTCAGCCCCGTGCCCTGGAACCTGAGGTGTGGAAGCAGCAGTCCGGGCCCTGCGTGGGGAGCCTCCCCCAGCAGCCCGGCCCCTGATCCCTGGAAACACGCCTCCGGG